CCCAACAGCAAGAGGAATCACCTCTGTAGGCTCTGCTACTGGTCTTTTGCGTGCAGTAGGCAGGGTACAGTTTCATAAACAGTACTAACTGATATCAAAAGCTTATGCAAACCGAATTGCCTTTTCTGTGCAAGCAAAGATGCCTGTGTTCTGTCTGCATTTTCTAGAGTTTTTAAATAAATAAAAATAATAATATTGTGATTTTCAATTTTTGTGCTCATCATGGACTTTGTGAGCTCAGTAGGAGTTGTTGATTTGAAAGACTTCAGGTTGCCAGTTATTTTACTGTTTGGGGTACTAATCATGTCGCAGCATCTATAAAAAGTCATAATGCTTTTTCCAATAAATTGCTATTTTAGGCATCCTGGTGTGGCCCTGCATTATCTGACTGTGTGAGATGGGAGCTGATGAAGGCATCTCCTTTTTTGTTTATTTTAGCCACTTTGACTGATGTATTTGTGTTAATGTAGAAACTGGGGGTCCTGCTTACCTGAGAAAAATTGTGTTGGCTGGTGTATTCCTGTGTGTGGGTACACAGGAAATGTTGGACATACTGTCACGTTGAGGTCCGTCTAGCTTAGTGCCCTGCTGTCAGTGGTGGGCAGTAGTGGACACCGGACACAGATTACAGGGTCACTGCAACTGTGGGCTGATACCTCCTTTAAATATTTCCCTGTCTCTAGAACAGTGTGGCTCAGGGATTTTTATTACTGTGCTTGGTGGATTAAGATAGACTTTATCCCAGGCATTTGTCTGCATTTGTCCAGTTGCTTTTTAGACTTAAGGTAAAGTTACTACCTGTGGTATTCTTTTGTCCTATAGCAGGGAGTTCCTTGCATGTGGAAGAGCAGAAATACTCTTTGGCTGAGAGTTTCCAGCAGGTTGTGTCTCTGCTCTGTAGGCAGCTGAGTCAGCTGGGTTTTAAATAGGCCTCTGTCACTGCAAGTGTATGTTTGTTTGCGAGTTTCCAGCATCTTCTTTGTCCTGGGGGCAGGAGTCGGAGTTGCGCTCTGGATTTTGACACAAGGCCAGCATGGTCGCAGCTCCTCCTTTAACACGCAATTGACTTTTAAACTGATGTTAAAAAACTGAAAAAGCTTTTTCTCTGCCCCCCTCCGGTATTTGTTCTCCGAGGCATAATAGTGCAGCAAATGCCTAGAGACCTCCTTGCCTCTCTTCTGTGCCTGTGCAATGCCCTTTTCTGTCTCAAGCAAACACTGAAATAGGGATATTTTGGTGCTTTTCTGATGTTTGACAGAACATCATGATGTTAACTGCTGTATGTGGATTTAAGAAGACAGTGCTGGGGTAACTGGAAGGTGGATATTTCTTCTTGCTTAGATACCTTGGTGCTGTCAGTGGCTGCCTTGCTGGGTCATTGGGGTGCGGTGGGTGTGTGCGGCAAAGGCTGCGTTACTGCCCAGGGCCCCTCTCCCATGGCCTTGCTCAGCGGTGAAGTGGAGCGTCTCCACGGCTGCCTGTGCTGCCTGCTGGGCTGGATCAGCTCAGTGGGGAAATGGCCTTGGGAATTATCTCTGCCTTACAGAGACAGGAGTGGCCTTGCTGCTAATCAGCAGGTCCCTCCTGGTGCTATGCAAAGCAGAAGTGTGATGGTGACAGGGCCACATTTAAACAGAGCCAAATTCAAAAGCATAATCTTGATGGGAATTAAACACATGCTATGTAGATTTAGCTGTGCTGGATATACTGGCCTCCTAAGCTATGCCACTTCTTAGTAATGTAACCTGTGAGAATTTTCCTGCTGGCCTCAATGGTGGCAAACCATATATATTTATATATATGTACATATGTATGTGTATAAATATGTGTATATATATGTGTGCGTGTATAAGTACATGTGTATATATGCTGTGCATATACAGACCTCCTGCCTCCAGACCCCCTGCTTTGATCTATTGGTTGGCTTCTGACATCACCGAAAAACTTGCTAATGCGAAGGCTGCCACAGGGCAAACATTTGCAGACCGAGGTTTTAAGTCTGCTGGATTGGGAGCTTTGTTAGTTTCAGAAAGAAATACTTTCTTTTGTAAACACATGCCTAAATATATCTAACACTGCATTGAGAAGATGACAGCCTTTATAAAAGAGCTAATTGGTTAAGTTGTCTGTATAAATCTGGCCAGACTTATAATACTGTAGTCACTCTGAGGGGATAGGTGATTGATGGTGAACGGGGAAGTAACATCATTAGTTCTCCATTTTCATCAATCACCGTTGCAAAGGGTGTGTGAGCAGCTATTGTGCTTGTGGTAGCAAATTTTTAGCTTTTCAAGGCTTCCCAAAGGCGATGGGACAGGGAAAGAAGATGGTGGCTCCTAGCTCACATTGTCGCTCCTGCTGTAATTACAATAATACCTCTTTTACAATAGCACTCTGAGCAGCAACTCTTTTTCTTCTGTGACAGCATTTCAGCCACACTGTGCTAAAAAAGAAATGCATCTCTTTTAACGGGACCATAAGTAGCTTTGGATGTATAACGCCTCTATAAAACTGCTTGGCAACATGATTTATTGGAGCACGATCAGTGGTAAAAGTGACTTCTCTGACAGTAATGGATGAAACATTTCCAGTGTAGCTACTCTGTCTCTGCTTGGTGTCTATGCCAACAGCAGGCTGGTTTTGTCAGCTCATTCATAATCTCCGCTTTGCTCTCGGTAGAATCTGTTGCACAAGACAGGTTTCAGCCATAGTGGATGCTTTTTTCCTAGTCCTCTGTGGTAGCTGCTGCAGAAGATGGGTCAGTGCAAATGCTGCTTGATTCCTAAGGTGCTGGCTGTCTAATTCCACATCCAGAGCTCATGCCTAGGTGAGAGTTCGGTGCATGCCACTCCCCTACCCCTCACTGCTACCCACTCTCCAGTTTCCATCAGGAGAAATATGAGTGAATAGGATGGAAGGAGCTCCACTGTTCTTAGACTGAGTATGAGGTCTGGCTGATAAGCAGCCCAAGGTCCTGGGCAGCCTCAGATGTATCTTCTATGCAGTTCCATTGAGAAGACTGGGTTGAGAAGCCTCAATTTTAGGTACAGATTTTTCAGAAGTAGAAATGGAAGTGAAAGATCCCAGAAACCACATCCTGAAAGGTGCCACTGGGATTTAGGTGTTTCAATGTCTTTGAGGATCTGGATTCTCATGCATATAGACCATCTCACTGCCAGGTACCAAGCACAGGATCAGGCCAGTGCCTCCTGTTTTACATCCACCGCAGCATGGACTTCTGAGTGCCATGGCCCTTCTCCCTCTCCAGGATCCCACAAGCTGATGCAGTTGGACATTGTCAGCTGTCAGCTTCTCACCAACCCCACTTGCTCTGTGGGACCAAGAAGCAGCAGA